AACTCCTGATTCTTCCATTCGGTCCGTCCTTCCGTCCCCTTGACCACTATCACCAACTGATTCAACTTCAAGTGTAGAATTTTTAGAAGAGTTTCCCGCTTCTCTTCCACGTAATCTTTTTTTTATTCATCCTGATGATTCCTTTGAGTCCATAATAAACAGATTCCCACGTCCAACACAACCTCTCCCACCAAATGCCTATATTCTATATAATCGGTCCCGACTATTTTGATCCTGAAGAGATTCGAAATGCCATCACTGGCCAGCTACTTCATCTACAGTTCTCCTTCCCCAATCACCCGTCCCTTAAATTTCTTTTATAATCTTCCCCTCTTCCTCTGTTGTAATTCACAAAATGAATTAATTCTTGTATCGCCTCTCCGTACACACACACACACACACACTCACACACATATACGAACACATCAAATTCACAGTTCATGCTTGCCATGATTTCTCAAATTTATAAAAATACACACACACACATATGTATATATAATAGTAATTGCTACAGTTATTATAAACGCGATGAATAGTTATAAGTAGTTTAATATTCTGTTATTACATATCTTAATATTCTCCGCAGTACGAATTTTAATTTGTAATGTTTCCTTTCATCAACTTTATAAACTGCCTATTACAAGACCGAAGTTTCTGTTTAGCGTTTTATTTTTCCTTCAATTTTATAAAGATAGACCTTAGGTAAATTTTAGTTATAAATTTAAATAATAATGTTTAGCTTAGTCATACCTCTATAATGTACTTAAGATTTAGTGTTAACAATAAAGTAGAATATGTCTAAAATGACATCCCTCTATCTACATTCATTCTAGAATCGTAAGATCTCCTATCGACTCCCATCCCGCGTCAAAGATCGCATATGGTTCGGTCCCGAGTTATAAGGATTAAGTTCCTTTAGAGCTCTAAATTTACAAATTTGTAAATCTAAAGCTCTAAGTTCCTTGACTTAAAATTCGGACTGACGTTTGCACTGCTCGTTGGAAACAGGTGTCATAGCATTCCTTCAAGACGTTGACTCATGTTCCAGAGCGTTATATGTAAAAGATGCGTTCGATTCGCTCCTTCCCCTTCCCGCGGATGCATGCGAGACAAAGCGTCTGCTCTAACGTCCTTTCATGCTTCTTCCTTCTTATTCCTTTCTTTTTCCAAACCTATCCACACGTATTACCGGAGCTTGGAAGTAACAATTGTAATATAGGTAATTATATCTAATTATTGTATATTATAATTTTATACACAAATAAGAGTCAATACGTGGTTAAATTAAAAACAATGAATTATTTCAAAGACATACACTATGACGCAAGATGTCGGAAGTCACAACACGACGCGAAAGAGAGAAAGAGAGGGGTTGTGTACATATATAAACTTCACTCTTTCTCTCTTTCGCGCCGCGTCGTAACGCGATGGACGACGCGACTCGTGACGCGCTCAGTGGAAACGTACCATAAATGCAAAATCCTGACGTGGTGCAGTGGATTTTATACTAAAAAAAAAAAAAGTTAAAAAAATTTTTTACTTTTTTTCGATTTCAGTATAACATCCACTGCACCACATCAGGATTTTGAGTTTACTTTAATCCTGTAAAAGGATTTTTTATTCCATTTAGTCAATTCGGAGATTTTGATCAAACTGTAATGTCGATAATTGGGTTCATCCAGCATCCCCTTAAGGGTTACTGTTACCAGAGAGAAACTTGAGAGCGGCCATCCCGGCCTTTTTCCTGTAATGCTTCTAACTCCCCGTACATTAGCAACACCAACATCCATTTTCGAGCTGTGGGAATTACGTACCACGTCCATTTTCGAGACCCACCCGTCTCGCTGATAAAATCGTATCGTCGAAAGTGGACGTGGTACACCACAAATTATAGATGTGAAGAAAAAACTATTTTCGACATTGTTGATAAATAAATTTACATTATGATGCTACAGCCACGAATTGCAGATAAAGATAATATTATGTATATATACACACTGGCGTATTCCACAATACGTGATCTCTGATAGATTGAAATTCTCATTCCCTGTTCCTTTTATTGTGCGGAGCCCTTTATACACTGATTAAGTAATTGGAATGAAACAAACCATAAAAGGTTGCAGTACTTTCTTTTTGATGGGTTTGGGAATACAGTCTATTCATCGAGCGATTGGTTCTTACTTGGATCCATAAATGGATGCATTCACAACAATCGCTCACTGAACGCTCAATGAATGGTTGTCGTTCTGAATTCACCCAATAGGTGCATTTAGTACTAAAAATGTTTCGTAACGGCAAAGACATAGAGAATGAACTGCGCAATCCGTGTGTCAAAATGATCGATAGGGATGAGAGAGAGGGACCATGGCAGACGGCCATTTCTATCTCTTTCCATTCAATGGTGTAATGGGAGAGAGAATGAGAGGGGGATTGGCCGTCTGACGTCTCCCACGGGCCTCTCTCTCATTATTGTCGACCACATTTGATACATTACTTAGATAGGGATCGCGCAGTCCATTCTCTATGTCTTTGCGTAGTGACAACTCGACCGCACCCCAAGTTTAGGCTGGCGTTCCGTGGAGTGGAAATTTACAGCGGAACGGAACAGCTCGGACCAATCACAACTCTATAGTCATTAGAGTAATAAGCAGAGTGCTTTCTTTTCTGCGATTGTGATTGGTCTCGCTGTTCCGTTCCGTTGTAAATTTCCGTTCTATAGGATGCAGGCTTAAGTACCCCTCATATTGGTTGCGTTCAGTAGACTCAGCAGTTTTACTATCGTTTTATGATTCGTCGCGCTGATTGGTTTATACTTTTAGTTTTAAAGGAATAGTCCAATCTGAGCGAAGAATCATAAAACGGTTGCAAAACTGTTGAGTCTGCTGAACGCAGCCATTATAGAAGGGATTCAACTTACTCGCTGTAAGTAAATTTGTCATTCTAAAATGTAAAATGATCGGTAAATCGCAGTGAAATTTTCGTTACCATCATGCGATAACGTTGTGTCTTAGGTCTTAGCTCATGGACGTCTTTCTTTCGTCATGGCTGGAAGTTATAAAAATTTTATGAAACTTTTGGACTCGTGGCCGTTAGATAAAAGCAAAATTGACAGGTAATTACGCCAGGCAAAATGTACATGTAATTATTTTGAACACAATGGTCATTATCACTAGTTACTAACATTAATATTTGCTTCTGATATATATATCATTATAGGTTATAGTAACTTATTATGTGTAGCTTTTAGCGATTATTTATAAAGAAAACGTTTAATTTACTATACTATTAACTTTCGCGACTTGTTAATATTTTTCTCTGTTTTCTGTCTATTTGATTCGATGATTTTTAGCGACTTGGGACAGCACATTCGTGATCAATTGTTCGATGATTTTTAGCGACTTGGGACAGCACATTCGTGACCAATTGAGAATTGCGTTTTCAAAGGGTGAAGCTACTAACCAACCGAATCCTGAACAGTGTAATCGATATTATTCAAGCTTAAAAAGGATTTCATCGAATCATTATGGACAACTTTATAAACGCTCTTTGTTAAGCACTGCAAGTGGATTGAGCAAGGAGCACTGTAATTTGGCGTTGACTCCAGAAGTACGAAAGTATTTGACAGAAGAGAGTAACGGAATATTTAACAAGCTTCGTTTGACACTACAATATTACAAGAAATGATAAGGCTTAAATTTGCATACTTTGCAAATAAGTTTGGTAAGAATAAACATTTTATTGATAGAACAAACATATTAGTAATAAATAATTTACCATGTTTAATTAATATGAGGCAATATAGTCTTAAATACGATGTCTGCTCTAACAAAGATCTTCATGTGCCTGTTCTGGCGCAAGAAGTATTGACGTATATGGCTCCATCGCCAGGTAAAACATATATAGATATGACATTCGGTGCTGGCGGACATGCTACCAAATTATTAGAACATTCGCCCGATATAAAAATATTTGCATTAGATAGAGATCCTTTAGGATACGAATGTGCAAAGCAATTATCACAGAGATATCCAGGACAAGTAATTCCTTTGTTAGGTAAATTTTCCGAGTTACCGCAGCTACTTGAACCATATAACATTAAAGAAAATAGTATAGATGGTATTTTGTTCGATTTTGGTTGCTCATCAATGCAATTTGATACTGCAAGTAGAGGTTTCTCTTTATCAAAAGATGGACCATTAGATATGAGAATGGACGGGCTTCGATGTCCAAAACAAATTACTGCCGCGGAAGTATTGGAAAGAGCAACAGAGGAGGATTTGATTCGTATCATAAAAGTTTATGGACAAGAGAAACGTGCTAAAAAAATTGCACGTGCTATTATTGACGCTAGATATATGTTTAGAAAATTAGAGACAACAAAAGAATTGGCTCAACTAATTGAATTCACTTTAGATGGTGAAATTAGAAGAGATAGTCTTGGCAGATTTTCACACAGTGCTACGAAAACGTTTCAAGCACTTAGAATTTTTATCAATAACGAATTAAATGAAATCAATTACGGTATACTTCTCGCACAAGTATACTTGAAACTATCTGGTTGTTTAATAACGATTTCATTTCATTCGCTCGAAGATACTATAGTTAAAAGACATATTTCTGGAAATATAACAGATAATGTAGCTAATACCGTTGCGTTAAAATATGCGCATTATGGTAAGACATTTGATAAGGACGAATTTGAAAGATTGACAAAAATACCATGGAAAATGATGCATAAGCATGTTTTGACACCTGCTGCTGAAGAAATTGAAACAAATCCAAGATCGCGATCTGCGAAATTGCGTGCTATTATGAAAATGAAATAAATATGTACAGTGTATTAAAACTTGTAATAATTCGCACTTTTTTTTATCAATGTTACAAATTTGTTGAAATGGTATACTTGTAATGTGTATACAATATATTTATTTTAACAGGATGTATTACTATACTGTACATAAATAATAAAGAATGTAAGCTTTTTGTACAAAAAAGTTGATTAACGATTATGTATTGATATACTATAAACTTTCTGAGGAATTATTAGCATCACATTATGAAAATGTTTGTTGAAAAATAAACATTTAATTTAGTTATAAATAGATATTAAATTTAAAACAGGCCTTCTATTTCATCTATTTCGGTATTCCAATCCATATCGTAAATACTTGGTCTAGTCGAAAGTCCTGGCATCATCATAATCTGAAATATATAATGAAATAATAGTGAAAATTACCTAGTAGATTATTAATTGCATAGTTAAAAAAATTATTCACCTCTCCCACCATAGGAACAATAAATTTGGCGCCGGTTGAAACAAATATATCTGTAATATCGAGGGTGAAACCGGTTGGCGCACCTTTGATAGCTGGATCTCCAGTTAACGAATTCGATGTTTTTGCCATACATATCGGGAATTTGTTATATCCTAACTTGTTATACTGTTCGATTTTTTTCTGCACCTATAACGAGTGGTAAAAATTTATATATTGTAATAATATTATATTATAACAGTATATATAAAATGTCAATTTTACTTAACATAGCATATTAGAGTTCTTATAACAGATATATTATTAAAAAAAAAATCGTACGATTATCGATACAAACACATAAAAATGATATTAATGAAATTATTTTATATTCGAACATATAATTTTAGTTAATTTTAATAATATTGGTAATGTTTTGTAGCAATAATTTATATATATGGGATAAAAATATTTGTTTACCTTTTCTGCGAGAACGACTTGGCCAGCACCATAAATCTCTTTGGCGATCTTATTAATTTTTTCCTCGATGCTATCCTCGAGATCGTATAACAGTTTAAAATTACTATTTTTTTCGGTAGCTGCTATTACTGCATCCGCAAGAGCTGTAGCACCAGCCCCACCTTCGGCCCAATGAGTGCATATTACTGCATCAGTTGCACCGCTTTCCAAGGCTGCTTGCCTAACGAGCTCTAACTCCGCTTGAGTATCGGTACTGAAAGATTAATGTAGATATACTCATCTGTGACCGATTGTATTAATTCAAATGTTATAATTTGTATTAGCTTTGTTTACAAAATTTTCATAAGGATGATGATGTCACAACATCATAAAATAAAATTCTTAAAACGATTGTAAAACATTCTCTCTTTGAGGCTTTTAGTTCGTGTAATAGTTTGATAACTGTTAGTAAAATAAGAATTACAACAAAAACTTCAACGAAACAAGTAATATATATTCAAGATTAGCATTCTGACGACTGCGGATTATTTAACTTTTGTAATAAAAAACTATTATATCATTACTTATTTGTAAAAAAAAATCACCTGTGAGAGTTGATGGCAACAACTACGGGCACGCCATATTTCAAACCATTGCTGATGTGTTTTTGCAGATTTGGTAAGCCTTTTCTAACAAGTTCAACATTTTCTTCGATATACTCTTTTTTTAACGGTGCTCCGGTCGTTACCGGTGGCCCACCACCGTGCATCTTTAATGCTCTAATAGTCGCCACAAGTACGATAGCATTCGGTACGTATCCGGTAGTACGACATTTGATGTCAAAGAACTTTTCCATGCCAATATCTGATCCAAATCCGGCTTCTGTTACTACAATGCCTTTCGGTCCGACTAATTTTAGAGCAATAGCGTCGCCAATAATGGATGAACAACCGTGGGCTATATTGGCGAATGGTCCAGCGTGTACTATTACTGGTGTACCTTCCAATGATTGCATAAGTGTCGGTTCTATAGCATCTTTTAGCAGAATCGCCATTGCTCCTGTCATACCCTGAGGATTAAGTAGATATTTAAACAAGCCGCAAATTGTTTTCGTTATACAAAATTATGAAGATGTAAAGATTATTGTAAACGGTTTATTTATGTCTAATCGTAGTAGAATATAATTATACTTTAAATCATTTAAATTATTAAAATACATATAATTTAACGAGAGAGATAACAAAAATAATCACTATTTCATATAAATAGATAATAATATCGAATGAATAATTAAGATAATGTTTTGTATATAATTTTAAATAATTATACTAACAAAATCTTCAGCAGTTAAAGACTCGCCGCTTTTGTTAAATCCAATTACGATATTACCAAGCCGCTCCTTCATATCTTCGGCACTGGTTGATAATGCAAGGATTGCCATTATTTCAGATCCAACAGAAATACAGAATGAGGTTTCTCTTGTCTTGCCTTTCTCGGTTGGGCTCTGACCAATGGTAATCTTCCGTAAAAATCGATCGTTAATATCCACCACTGCATAACAGAAAAGATGTAATTGCAAATACAATATCTTTTTCGCGGAATTATATTCCTATAAGAGTTCTTAAATCACACCTCGCGTCCATATGATGTTATCTGGATCGATGTCAAGTCTTGCAAATCGACGTTTTTCTTCTTCCGTTAATGAATTTGGATCAGTTTTTGTGATGCCAAGTTTTTCCAATCGTCTCAGCTGGATTTTTGAGAACTTCCTGACACCCTTAATAGTTGGTACCAACCGATCATATAGGACTTTATCACTCTGAGTGGACTCGTGGAAGTATCGTGCATCAATTTGCGCTGCCATAAGATTATTTGCGGCAGAAACAGCATGAATATCCCCGGTTAGGTGAAGATTGAATTCCTCCATAGGTATTACCTACAACAAAGTCGATGTCAATTGAGTCAATAAACAGTATGATTTTATAAATATACATATGTCTTTATAAATATTGATAGTTACCGTTATTTGAAGAAATTTCTCTGTCACATACCTGTGAATATCCTCCTCCAGCAGCTCCTCCTTTAACACCGAATGTAGGTCCTTGACTAGGTTGTCTAAGAGTAACGAAAGAATTTTGGCCTCTGTGCGCCGTCAGTGCTTGCACCAATCCGACGGAAGTCGTGCTTTTTCCTTCACCAAATGGCGTTGGCGTGATGCCCGTTACCACAACATATTTTCCATTTTTTTGATTTCTTAGTCGATCCAATACACTGAGACTGATTTTAGCTTTTTTGCTGCCGTAAGGGCTAAACTCGTTCGATAGTAATCCAATTTCTTCAGCTAGTGCAACGATCGATTTTGGCTCTTGACTCCTGGAGATATCAATGTCGCTTGGTACGGGTTTCACAGGATTCAGTTTAAGAATCCGCAATTTCCATTGACTGTTGAGGAGCTTTTCCGCCGATCTTTGCGCAGATATCACGGTATTTTTCATTAACATAGCGACTGTCATTGGTCCAACACCGCCTGGTACTGGTGTAATGTACGAAGCTACTTTAATAGCTTCCTGATATGCTACGTCGCCTACCAAACGTTGCCCGCTTTTCTTTGTAGGATCTGAAACGCCATTAACGGTTTAGTGATATTTATTGGATTTGAAAATCGTTCAATTATGTTTTGATTATGTTTGTTATGTCTCTATATTTTTTGTTAAATTATTTCAAATATAAAAAAGAGAAAGAGAGTTTATTTTAAAATAAAATTATAATTAGTTGTAATATAATATACCTATTTGATAATAAATTAATTCATATATTGCCTTATTTTGAGAGATAAATGCTTTACGCGCTTATGTTATCACAGACTAACGCGTTGTGCATGACGCACGTACTCGGATGTGACTGAACTTAAACTAGATAATAGACTGTTTCTATACTTTTTTTTTTATCATCAGAGATGTATGGATGTGGTAATGTTTTCTGTCGTAATAAGGGAGAAGACAAGAAGAGAAAAAGTAATAACGTCAATGAATAATACAAACACAAACATGTTTACAGCTCGTACTTGCAAGTCTTACTCTTTAAAAAGGTGAAAATATTTATTAACTTATAATATTTAAATTACATAATAAATTATATAATATATACCGGGTGTTTCAGACCACCCGTCTCACCCTTTTATCTTCGCAGTATAAGGTCCAATCGAAAAAGTGTTCAGACGAAAGTTGTAGGGTTTCTAAAGACCTATTTACTGGCGCTATGAGTTTGATCTTGGGTGGCATCGCCACCCAAGGTCAGGTCAAGATCATCGATTTTTTAAAATGGAACCCTTTATCTTTCATTACATTTTTTTGTAGCTTACCTCGAGAGATTTTCAAAATACTATAATAAAATATTTTTTCATTAAGTATTTTTCGAGTTATAAGGCTTGAAAGTTAGACAGTACAGTCGGCATTAGCATTACGCAAGTTGTCTGACCGACGGCTAAAACCTCTTGAATGTTGTTCAGGATCATGTCCTGGATAACATTTGTCAAGATCAAGGCATTGTAAGCTGTACTTCTTATTTTCATTTTTGCATTAAAAATTCATTTTTACGTAAAAATAAAAATAAGAGGTACAATCACCAATGGACTTAATCTTGAAAAATGTTATCCAGGACATGATCCTGAACAACATTCAAGAGGTCTTAGCTGTCGGTCGGATAACTTGCGTAATGCTAATACCGGCTGTACTGTAACTTTCGAACTTTATAACTCGAAAAATACTTAATAAAAAAATATTTTATTATAGTGTTTTGAAAAGCTCTCAAGGTAAGCTACAAGAAAATGTTATGAAAAATAAGAGATTCCATTTAAAAAAATCAATGTGATCTTGACCTGACCTTGGCGATGCCACCCAAGATCAAACTCATAGCGCCAGTAAATAGGTCTTTAGAAGCCCTACAACTTTTGTCTGAACACTTTCGATTGGAACCTTATATTGCGAAGATAAAAGGGTAAGACGGGTGGTCTGAAACACTCGGTATATGTAACAATATTAATTATAAAGAATTTATTCAAACAATTATAAATATTTTGTCTTTTTGTATCATTATCGTGATATGTTTATATTTTTTAGTTTGAAAATAATAAACTATAAACGTGTGTTACGATCTTTTTTTATGAAAAACGATTGATACATCGGTGTTCTGGGGCCCTATTCTGTAACTGTCTTTACATGCCTACCGACAGTTGTCGGTGTCGTTGCGCATCCCTATTCTGTAACTGTCTTTACACGCCTACCGACAAATGTCGCTAGGCGTGTAAAACAGTTACAGAATAGGGGCCCTGAAAACTTATTTAAGACATTCACACAGAATTTTCCAAGACAAATTTTAATAATAGATTCATTGATGAATTTGAATTCAATTAATTTATCTTTCAAATATGTGTGTGTGTCGCATAAATAACAAAGCTTAGTACCTGGAATGGGATTGATGCCACAATCGATGACAACGGCACCCGGCTTAATCCAATCACCCTTAACTAATTCGGGTTGTCCTATACCTACTACTAAAATATCAGCTTCACGCACCTAAAACAAATTTTAAAAAATAATGCAATCCTTTGTAGTAATACAGTTATTTATTTTATTTTGTTTTACAAGTACTAAGAAAAAAAATCATAAATTTAAATGATTGCTTACGACATCAGAGAGATTCTTCGTTTTCGAGTGGCAGACCGTTACAGTGGCATTATGCCATTTTAATAGTTCAGCAACAGGAGTACCAACAATTTTACTCCTTCCTAAAACAATGGCTTTAGCACCGGCAATAGGTACGCCGCTCCTAAAAGTTGTTTTCTCAGTTTATCACGTACTTGCATGATGAAAAAATTTCTTACATTGCATAATATTAAATTAATTTGCTGAGATGGATAGCAAACCTTTTGATTAACTCGATACAGCCGTTTGGAGTGCATGGCAAAAATCCAGACATGTCACCGATCGCAACTCGGCCTTCATTAATAGTATTTAATCTGCAATATTGAACAATTATGTATCTGGATATGAATAAAATTATATATATATATACACACTACGGTTCGTGAAGAGAATATCATTGATAGGAAAAAGATTTTTGTGAACATTATATTATTACAGTATATATAATATTGTTTCTCTCTCTCACTTTAATTATAAATCTTTAAAACAGAACTTATTTGTTTAAATTAGCTTCTATGCATTACTATCAAAATGGTAAGTCAAAGGGCATATATTTCTGTTTTCTCTCTTATTTATCAGATGTGTTACAAAACTCCTTCGATATCGCGCTTTCGTAATAACGAATGTATTGTATATATACTCAAGCAGAACAAGTCGCGATAACATCAAAATGACATTAAAATGAATCGGAAATGATTGAAAAATGACTTTTAACATGGTTTTGATATCATAATGACTTGTTATTCTGCTTGGATATGAACAAGATATTGTTAGTGATGTATTGCCAGTAAATTAATAATTATCTATAATTAAAAAAAAAGTCATCTTATATTAAAGTTGAGATTTTTTCAATACTATTTTTTCAATATTAATTAAAATTAATTATTTTTGCGAAATACGGGATTAATTTGATTAAAAATCATAAGTTTTATATATAAAGAAACTCAGAGTAGTAATTAAATCAGAGATAAAATATTAACTTTCATATATTATAATAATTAAGGGGATGGGCGGAATAAAGGCCTAATTACAAAATCTTGATATTAATAAAAATAAAAATAACTTGCTATTTTTTTTATTATACAATATTAAATGAATAGTAAATGGATACAATATTAAATGAATTTATGTAATGTCTTTAAGAAGTTACGTGTTATAAATCTTCTCTATTACGATCAATATTACATAAAAAAGCTAATTGCCCGAAAAAGGGCCTAAGTAGAATTGTGCCTTTATTCCGTCCATCCCCTCAATTATAAATTTATAATGTCACACTTTTGTAAACTACAAGATGTCCCTCAAATAGTTATACATTTGTATGCGAATTTTTGAGTGTAATCTTTTTTCATTTTCACTATTAAAATAAGACAGATGAAATATACACTTTTCCAAATGGAAAAGAGCATATATTTCAGAGGCTTTCTAAAGATAAAAAGATAAATACTATTTTAAATAATAGTTATATATTTACCCATCAACATCTTTATTTGGGGATACTAAATCGGTGATTAGATGAGAATTGATTTTATTGACGCTGTCAAGTGGCATTTGCACAATAATTCCGTGAATATTTGGATCATTATTCAGTTTTGTAACTTTGTTGATGAGTTCTATTTCCGTTGTGGTGTTAGGAAGCTGACAACGACGAACATTGATACCTATTTCGCGGGCCGCATTGATTTTCATCTTTATGTAGACGTTCGAATCTTCTCTCGCGCCTACCTGGACGATAGCCAGGCCCGGTGCAAAATCAGGTAATTGCTCTTTTAAGACGCTCACATCTTTGATTAGGCCTTCTCGAATTTCTCTATAAAGTTTCATTACATGTGTTTGTTAGATATACCAAAATAAATTCGTGTATATTGTCTATTTTTATAAAATATTAGAAAGATATTCTTAAAAAAATTTAGATTACATATTTTCATAAAGCTTAACAATATAAAGGTTTTCATGAATTTTTAAATTATTTATCTGGTGCGGAGAATTTATTTTAAATTAGCTTTATCTTACGATTTGATTGTCTGCAATTATTTATTGCAAGGAAGAAATATTGCATATAAGATCTTAGTCTAAAGACATTTGAATTTCGCGGGCAATTTGTAGATACTTGTATATATTTTAAACATGTATATTTTAAGTAGAGATAACAAAGAATTGTGTGTGTAAAATTTTAATATTTGTATTGGGTTTATTGCTCTACTATTTTTGTTTTGTATTTCATTATGTAGAAATATGTGTTCGTATATTTAAAATGCCATAACCTTATAAAGATACAGATATATTGTATACGTATACATTGCTATTCGTTTTAAAATACTTTATACATATTATTCAATATATTATTTTTATATGTTGTTATATTCTGATTAGTAAACTTTGTAAATCTTTAATATTTTATTGTTATCAATGTTAGTTTTGTTCACGACATATCTTGTTAAATTGCTGTATCATTAGGTCTGTTCTATTTGCTTACACTTTTTACACTTAACATCTTTGCTTTCTCTCTTTTCAATACCAAATATATATCTATCTCATTTTAAGTGTAAAAAGTGTAAAAAAGTGTAAACAAGTCGAACAGACCAATTGTTTCAACACTGTTATTGAATGATAAATCGTAAACAAATAAATAATCACTTTCTTTTGCAATACGCTTACACTTGCACGAAATAATTTAACGTCACTTACTTGGCCAATTCAACTCCAGATAATATAATGCCTCGCATGTCCGTGGACATGGTTCTGTTTAGAAATCTGAAAAATTTTTAAATATTTATAATTTTATAGCCGATTTAATTAGAAATAGACTTATTAGACGTAGAAATTCAATTAGATCAGTTAACACTACTTCTTTACAGATACAAATCGGTGAGTTTGTCTACTGATATAAACCTGTTTATTGACTGACTGGTGCAGATCAAATGGATCTCATCAGGCCCGACCGGTTCACAAGTAGTTGCGGACCTATACAAGGTGTCTTAAAAGTACATATCATTCTAAAATTCGTTTATTCGAATGAATTATTAAATTTTTTGTCAGAAAAATAATTTCCGTTTAAAATTCGATTTAACTGCAATTTCATTGTGATATTTTCACAATAAAATATTTAATTAAAAATACAAAAAATGTTTATTTAAAATATTTAATTATATTGTTTATTCAAAAAATATTTAATTAAATTGTTAAAATATTAAAATGTTTAATTAAATTTTTTGGAGAAATTATAATATAAATTAATTGTGAATTATATTAGTTATTAATTATATATTTATTAAATTCAATTTTAAATATACTTTAAATAATTGTATGTTATGAAAGAGAAATTGCAAATTGTTTGGAGTTTATTTATCTATACAGTTTTTTCTGAAACACCTTATATGTGCAGTTATCAGATATATGTTACGTTACGTCATTCGCACTGTAATTCTTATATGCGTAGAACGTACGAGACACACAACGAGTAGAATTACTTCGTAAAAGATTGGAATTCAAGTTCTTAGCGACATTCTTTGATAGTTCTTGGCGACATACTTTGTATCAGTTCAATGGTTCTTATATTCTTTATCTTTTATTTATTTTATATGTTGAAAGTGTTTTATAAAATATCTTCTTTAATCTTTAATTATAATATAAGATGTTCGTAAATTTAAAAACTAATGATTTTATTCTTTTTTATTATTACAGTCTTTTCATTTTATAAAATATTTTAATAGAATGTTATATATATATATATATATAAATTATAGTTAAAAGTAAATCGCTCTAATATAAAAAAGTTGAATTAGAATGAATTAGATTGATGAGGTATAATATCGATTAAATGAGTATTAATCTTACTTAAGAGTTCCCAATATCCGTATCATGAGATGATCTGGTACAATAACTCGAAGATAACTGTTTAGTTTTATTTAATTTTTATCGATGGATGCAACTTTAGTGAAGTGCAAAGGGTAATATTAGGAAATATCAAGTGTGTTACGCGTATTACGATATTCAATGCGATAAACTCTGACTCGTTACTGACAATCAGCCTTATATTTAACAGAGCTAACATAATTATGCTATTTTCATAAATTTTATTTAATCTTTATACCTAAATCTGCGATTCTTTTTATATATTTAAATATTTAAATATTTATATAGATAAAATGGATCATTTATTATTACACGCAAATTTGTACAATTACGCTATATTACCGTTTGATCAATCACGGACAGTATGTGAGATGCATATTTAAATGCATCATTCGTTACGCTATGGACGATATTTCATCGTAATCAAAATCCATTCGTTACAAATATAACAACATTGAATGCACTTTTATTATTATCAATGATATTTTCTAAACTACCTCAGAAAAATATTATTATTAATATGTTATTTAAACTATCTTGGTATCACGAAAAAATGTTTACCAGTAAACTGAAACAGGAATAATAAAAGTAAATAAGTTTTTTACAATATGTCCATGTTGCGCAAAAAGAAGCAGGTAAATATACAAAATTATTAGTAACAATTTAAAATGTTAAAAAAATAGTAAGTATTGATTATAATTATTTTCCTGGAACTGAAGACGTTATTAAGACTGCAATTATTTTGCACAAAAAATGATTTTAATGCAGCTAAAGCCGAAAAAGTTTATATCTATATTCAAAATGAATTCCGATTCGGTTCAGCGATGTAATGTAAAGAGAGTTTACTTAGAATTTAGCTGGTTTACCAACGGTTAGTTCACCTCGGGCATTATCGTCTTCATCCCTTCGGTGTCGGTGATTGGCGGATCTGCAATATCGTTAGGCCGCGGTTTTGATCGGTCACTGTGTAGTCTCGCCGCTGGAAAACAGAACAATCATTGAAGATTAGTAAGATTAACCAAGATCCTCTTTTCGTTTGGTTTGCTTATTCACTAAAAGATCGTGAGTCCGTCCGAGAAAGCACCATGATTTATTTAAGCTCACATGTTTTGATGTAAACTTATCCTAAGATTTGCGAGACATTTTTAATGCTAATTCTTTTTCTCTTTTTCCTTCTTACATTTATATAGGGTAAACTCGGGTATGATGGCCATAGTTTTTTAAAATGCAAAAAACATACATTTATTCTTGTTACTTTTCAACAATATTTGGGATATTACTTTCACTGAAGCTTAAAGTAACAAATACTATCGAAATTAAAGAGAAAATACTTAACAGAACTTTAATTTTATTAAAATATTACAAAGTATGCATTGGCCATCTTATCTGATTTTTAGGGAAAAGATGGCCATGATATTAAGAAAGATAGAGCCATAGTATTTATAAATAAATAGTGAAAATGAAAGTATTAATTATAGGTCACATTGCAATTTATGTATCTTTATTGTGTATGTAATGTTGATTATGGCAACTTAACTATAATTTATTAGACATTATAACAGTTTTTAGCAGACACGTGCAAGACTTTGCATATAATCGAAAGAAAAAATATTAGATAATATTTATAATATTGTTATTTTGAACAGTGTACTCATATGAACTACTGTAAATATTGATTATCTTTAAGAATGACTATAAAAATGCACTATTTATCAATTATTGGAGAAATTATGGCCTATGGCCATCTTTTCCGTATGGCTATAACAGAGATGGGCATGTATTTGAAATACTTTTATTTGAAAAACAGTATTGGTAAGACAATAATATTTTGTATTTTGTGTTTGTTCAGAGTACATGAAAATATTTTGTATTTTGTATTTCATGGGAGCATATAAAAATATTTTGTATTTTATATTTTAGTATTAATAACAAAAGATTATGAAAGTATTTTGTATTTTGTATTTTAAATACTAACATTGATAATCAACCTTATTATTAAAATTACAAGATACAAAAAACTTTCAATCTTTCGATTTTAAGTACAAAATATGTAATATTTTTATGTGATGCGCTAAAATAAAAAATACAAAATATGCTTGTATTGTAAATAGTGTGTTTTAAATAAAAGTATTTCAAATAAAAGTATTTGAAATAAAATGGATTATTTCTTATTTTATATTGCAAGCATGACATTATTATTGTATACCTTATTTTATTGAAAAAATTATGATAAAGAGATTTGAGTTATAATTTAAATATACGTGTTCGTGTAAGAAACAATTATATTATACGCTAAATACTATAAGATTTTAATATTTCTATAGGAGACATTTCTATGGGATAAGTAAGTACTATATCGTTTTTCAGGGATGCTATTTCACCGAATTTTAATGTTGGTTGGTATGCAGTTTTAGCTTCAATATTGCGTAATTTAGTCAAGAAAAATCATTAAAAAATTAAAAAAAATATATTTTGGAGATAAATCTTTATACTGTTTTTCAAAAATATTGAACTTTTGGAAATATTGAACTTGGAAAAAAAACTTTTTATCAAACTGCGCACTGTTAAATGTAATTTTAAGAAATACAACAATGTAATATTAAGTTATATTATATTAAGTAAGTTATATAATATTAAGTAATATTAAATGTAATAATAATTTATTAAGATACAAAACTGTAAAGACAAATTTTTTTTTGAAAAACGGTCAATAGCATGCTATAGTATAAGTTTCAAGCTTTAAAATGCATTTTTATTTTTTTTTTCTGCGATGATTTTTTACCGAGTTACGATCTAAATTTTATTACGCAATTTTAATTTCATGTCCGGAAACTTTTCGACGGCATTGTATATATAGTAGATACAAAACAAATTTACATGTGCTCTATATAATATTAATTATTTTTAATTTATTTATATGTTAATAGGTATCCTATATATGTTATCTAATATGTATGATATACACTTATATTTAACTAAATTAGAATTGTTTTAGCATATTTAGTACCAAATATAGTTGTTTATTAAATTTAAATAGAGATTACCCTTTTTTTTTAGTCTTTTTTAGTTTTTTAAAGTGTAAAATTACCATAATCAAAGTAAAAGAATCTTTCCGGTTTGCCGATTATTGATAATACTTAATAAGATATTTGTTAGTATAGCGTTATGATGAATTTAACTTAAGCTACCCATCTTATTGAAGTGTTTGTTCCTCATAGTGCATCGATCTCGTATACCTCCGAGACGCATCCGAATTGTTTTAAGTTCCAATATCTTCTGAATGATTTTTGGCAGCTTCACGCCTTGCGGGCCTCCTGTTCGTAACTGAAGCTTATAATTAATTCCAAGTCATAGCGGCTAGATCGCATGGAAATTGGCGGTCTACGCGAAATTGTCAGATTGATGCCAGCAATCGGCATCCATAATTGCTCGACGCTAGTTCTATGAAGGATTCCATAATCTAGCCGTCCCGCGTTCGAGGAAATCCCGAGGGTGCTTATTGTCTTTGCTAGTTGGATAAAAGTTCCTTCCCCCCCTCTCTCTCTCACTCACTTACTCATCATTACATCGTTCTTTTACTCGTACCCTTATTCTTCCTCGCCCTTCTCAACAATTTAATCTCGATTTACGAATCTTGCTAACAGCAATGTCACACAGAATAGATATCACGCCACGAAACATGTCATGCGAATTTAACTATTCTTAACTACCTTTGAAACTACTTCGTCGACTTAATGTCATTTCCGTTATATTTCCGGGCGAATCTGAAAGTAGTTGCTTATACAGATTAGATGGTCCATCTGTTGGTAGGCTGACCGGTTTGAAAAGAGAACTAGAATGAAAACCGGAATCTCAATAAAAATCTTTTATTATATTATATCCTTGTAGAAGATATAATATAATAAAACGAGTTTTTTTGCTATGTTTCCGACTTCTTTGATCGTTATAAAATTTGAATATTTTTAAACGACTTACTTGGAATTGCTTATTAGTAATTATTATATAAGTTAGAATATATAAAGAAATAGTTTTTATTTGAAAAATATTTTAAAAGAAATTCTAGAA